TCTTGCCATTTGCAACAGCATGGATGGAACTGGAGAGCGTTGTGCTAGGTGAAGTGAGCCAGTCAGAAGGATAAATACTGCGTGATCTCACTCATTTGTGGAATATAGTGAACAACATGGGCTGATGAAAAGGGATGGATCCAGAGACAGAGAGGCAGCGATAGGACTGTCAAACCTCAGAGGGAAAGTAGGGGAGGGTGGGGGTAAGGGGAAGAGATCAACCAAAGGACTTGTATGCATGCATATAAGTCCAACCAATGGACACAGACAACAGGGGGATGAGAGCATGAGTGTGTGGGGGGGAGGTTGGGGGTTAATGGGGGGATGAGGACACATTTGTAATACCTTAACCAATAAAGAAATTTAATAAATAAATAATTTTTTTAAAAAACGATCTAAGGGAAGCTCCAAGTTAAACCAAAAGCACACGGCGCAGTGTGCGCGTGGTTTGGGACAGGGACACAGACTTGACTACAATCTAGTCTCCGCAGCCAAACCCTTCTGGACTGAGCACTGGCGGGTGGGAGATCGTGAGCTCTGTTCTGAGGTCAATCTTTAACGCCCCGCTTCCATGTCACAGGTAATTTTTTCATTATAACAGCAACTAACGGGAATCAGAACCTACTTGAGCTCTCCACGCTGAGCAGATGAACCACCGACTCTCCACCGCGGGAGCGTGGAGTGTCCGCTCAGAGGCGCTCTGTCCCGCAGACACGGCTTCTCAGGGGAGACCCCAGAATCCTTCCGACTCCCACAATCAGGCCAACCCATTAGAAACGCTGCTGTGTGTCTTTAGTAAAACCTCCCACCGGTAAACCCCAATCTCTGGGCCACACACTGTTTGTTTTGTTTTGTTTTTAATCCATACTGAAGGATTTTTTTAAGTTAAAAATTTTTTTTGTTGTTAATCCTCACGCAAGGTTATTTTTCCATTAATTTTTAGAGATAGTGGAAGGGAGGGGGAGAGACAGAAACACCGATGTGAGCGAGACACATCAATTAGTTGCCTCCCACACAAGCCCTGACCAGGGCCCGGACCGGGGAGGTGCCTGCAACCAAGGTCCGTGCCCTTGACCGGAATCGACCTGGGACTGCAGGCTGATGCTCTATCCACTAAGCCAAACTGGCCAGGGCCACACATTTATTTTAGACCCTGTTAAATGTCTCAATAATTCAGGATAGTCGAACTTCCTGGTCAACCTGTATAACTTACTGCAATAAGATTTAATCTTATATTTTCCTTCTAGAAATAAATTTTATTTTTTAATCCTGATAACATTATTTATAACCAGATGGTACAAGGGGCATCCCCCACACAGGCACCTCTGTGTGGCACCAGGTGGCACCGTGTGCAGGGCCAGTGTTAAACTGCCATGGTCTCCTCACAGGGTGCTTCTGCCCGTGACACGTTCACCATCCAGCTAAGCCCAAGTCCCGGGGTTCCACCTAAATCAGCTCATCTCTGGGTGGTCAGCCACAGGCTCTCGGAGGCAGTTTTTGTCAGCCCTGAGTAGTTAACCTCACTTCCAAAGCAGATTCCTGGGAAACGTTCCTGAGGCCTCACCTGGAGCCCCACTGCTCCCTGGCCCATCCACATCCCGCCTACTGCCCGCTCACCGCCCGGCAGCTCTCCCCCGACTCCACAGCCCATGCACACCACGGCATTCAACATATCTTCTTGCTGACAAGTAATAATTTGTAACAACAAAAACAAAACCACTAAATCCCACCTTCACAGAACTGCCCTCACACGCCATCCCTACTTTCTACCACCCATCCCGTCCCATCCCCACACACTGCCCAACCCACACCCCAGGGGCCGGCACCCCACAGGCCTGCCCCACACGGGCCTGCCCCACACGGGCCTGCCCCACACGGACCTGCACC